ATTTTGGTGATTTTAGTTTGAACGTTCCATGATCATTTTTCTGAAATTGCACAGGAGCTAAAACTTGACCTTGATCCTGAGCTGGAAACTTTTCTATTCCCGGGACCTACCACTGCTGTTCTGTGCCAGTTTCTGCTCATTTCTTCATCTCGACTTAGAACGCACGTGCCATCAAACCCACCATTTTAAAGCTCCCAGTTCTGTGGATTTCAGTTCATTGGCAAAGTTGGCCCAAGTGACATCTGGGATGCTTGGCTATTGCAGAGACACACAGTTCAAAAACACTGTTTCCCAGTGTGGGATTTGTGTATAGTGTTTATTACAGTATCGAAACTACATTAGAAAAAATCGAGGCTCTACACAACGAAAGTTCTGTGCGTAGAGTCTGGTTTGGGGCTAGGTACGTGTGTGAGGGATGGGACGGTGGCAGAGACGCTGCCCCGCTGGACAGCTGGGGGAAGCTGTGAGCCAGGAAAGGAGAACTGCTCTCTGGAAACCCCCAGGTTCACAGTCAGGGAGACCAGCCACCCACGGAAAACTTTTCCAAATGACACAATGAATTCTTTTCTCCTGTGGCCAACCTGAGCTGAAGATGGCCATAGAGGCGCGCCACACCATGGCCCTCCCAGGGGCCACCTGCATCCCAGCACATCACTTGGGTTTGGGTGCAGAAAGCCCACCTCCACACAGCTCCCACCCCTACCCCCCTCGTTGCTTCCTCTCCTGTCTGTAACCTGGATGCAAGTCCTCTGTGACCACCACTGTCCCCTGGGCACTCTCGACAAGCCCTTGATCCACTTTGCTCCTTAGACTCTCGAGGCAACACACTGTCCAAGAGAGGAAGCCACACTCTCTGCCTTTTCAGGGGCCCTAGTGTGATGTTTTCTCCCACTTGGGTCTTTTCTCCCTCTACTTGTAACAAGGCTTTCTTGACCTTTTAAGGCCTCTTTCAAATGTGGCTTCCTCCATGAAATCTTTCTTGATTAATCGTTCCAGTTGGGATGAAAGCAGGTAAGCCCTACTGCCTTCACATCAGAGAAAGGGGTTTTCTCTTCCTGTTTGCTGGCTGAGTGACCCCTTGTGCTTTGCTGTATCTGGGTTTCTGCATGTGGCTGGTGGGGGTGTTGGCATTCAGCCTGCCCCTTGCCTCACCTCCTGCCTCCCCAGACCACCTAGGAGCTCCAGCAAGCAGCCTGGGAGAAAGAGCTTCATCCACTTTAGCAGAGTGGGCTGCATGTGTGCATTGCTATCTCTCCTCAACTCCCACGTGCCGGCACCACCCATGTTCTAACCATATATGTGTTTTGCTTTGAATATAGTGATTGTGTACCTGTCCACTCATTCATGCGAGAGAGGCCTTAGGCTTCCTGAGAGAGGAGATTATAGTCACTCTTCTTTATTCCTCTTGATTGTTCAATCTCTAGTACATGCATACATTTCCTAAACACATTGAAAAGTGAGTCCTGGATCAAGGAGCAATGTCAAATTCCCTCCCTGTCCTCGCTGTGCCTTCTCTGCATTCCCGTGTGAGCACACTGATTCTTGCCTGACCCCTGTCTTCCAGCCTGGTTCCCATCTCTGCATTAGTCCTTGGGATTTCTGCTACTAGTGTGTGCTGTTCTGGCTGCTGGCTCTCACTCCCAGATGCCTCCTTGGTCATGTGTCACATTTCCACATGTATAGGGCATTTCTGGGCTGACCCCATGGCTCCGTGGTTTTCGCTCTGTACCTCGGTTGCCCCCACATTCCCTCCATCCTGGCTGCTCTATGACAGGACTGGACATTGGGCAGGGCAAACCTTCAGTATCATCGGGCAACACTGTCTCGACTCTTCTCTGTGATGTTGTGTTTTCCAATCCATGAACATGGTATAGTCTCTATTCAGTCATGTTCTCCTTGTCAGTTCCAATAACAGGGCACTTTCTGGTTCATAGTTGGTCACCTCTTACTGTGTCCTCACGTGGCGGAGGGGTGAGGGTTATCTCTGGAGACTTTCATATGGGCACTAACCCCAGTCATGGAGGCTCTATCCTCAAGACCTAACCACCCCCAAAGGCCCCACCTCCTAATCCCATCATATTGGGAGGCAGGCTTCAACATACGAATACTAGGGGTCATACATTCAAGGAAGTTCAAGTGTTGAGACAGTAAACAACCCAAACCAAGCAGCAATGAGGAGGTAAACACATGAGGACTATCTGTAGGGGAAAGAAATCTAGCACCTATTGCTTGAGATGGCAGTATACCTATTTAGTACTGGGGAATCTCAGCGCACACCAGCAGCACATGCTGTCTCTCCAGAGTCCTACATCTTGGGATGAAATGGGTTTTCCATTTACTCACACTTGAGAAAGAGTCCCTGGAAATTATTTTATGAAGAGATAGTCCCAAACACTCAGGGGTCCTGAGAGCAGCCCCAAGACTTGGGGGCAAGTAGAAGAGGGTGTGTGCAGCTCCTGAGGGTTGGTGTGAACTTGTGTGACCCTCACACAAATGTGGCCTTCACACCTAATCCAGGAGCAGAGGGGAAGCGGGTGTTGTTTGCACATATCTCTATCTTGGCTCACAGGCGATGATGCGTTTCTTTACATGAGTAGGTGATGGGGGTGCAAACAAAGAGCTCAGAGCAAGGAGAAGGCCGTCAGGAAGGAAATGACTAACTTGTAAAGAAATTTCAGCCATTTGTATCCTCTCCCAAATGTCACCCCACCAAGTTCCTAGTTGGCATGCTTTGAAGTTGTAGCCTGGCTCTGTTGGGAGAAAGGAGGCCTGCAGGTCTGGAGGAAACTGAAGCAGCTGGCTGGTTGAACCCTTTACTCTTCCAGAAGGGGAGACAGAGGCTTGATTCTAGCAGTATTCGATGGAGTCTTTAGGGTTTCTAGACATATAATACCATGACACCTGCAAATAGTGACAGTTTTACTTCTTCCTTTCCAATTTGGATGACTTTCTTTCTTTCTATTTTTGTTTATTTGTTTGTTTCTTCTGAATTGCCCTAGCTGGGATACCGAGCTAAATCTACCTAGAACTCCTCCCTCCAGCCCCAGTTGTACCTACGTCCCTGAGCAAAGCAACATGGAGGAGTGGGGAGACCTTTGGGCTTTAAGTCTCCCTGAGCCTCACCATCTCCATCTGTCAAATGGTGCAATCATACCTGTGCCATTGTTTGGAGAACCAAGGGAGACGGCCTGAGAGTGAGTGTTTTGTAAAAACAGAAAGCAAACTGCAGATTGCAAACTGCTGCCAGTTTCACTTGGGTCCTCACACCATCTAGCCCTTCCTCTTCACTTTTGGGGTGGAGTTCTGTAATGCGGGGCGAGGGTCCCTGTTCTGCACCTTGGCCTTGGGAACCAGCTCTGGCTTAACTCTTCATTGCATTCTTCCTTTGTTGCCAGTTGTATGGCACATTACAGACAACCATGTGATTATGGCATAACAGCTTATGACCCGGGGTGAATCTAACTGCCTCAGGTGATGAAATACTCACCAAACACCTGTCAGTGACAGTGAGGTTGAACTGGAATCACAATCTTTATTTATTTATGTATGCATGCATGTATGTATGTAAGTTCTACCCCCAGTGTGGGGCTTGAACTCATGACCCTGAGATCAAGAGTCTCCTGCTTTCTCAGCTGAGCACCCCTGGAATCACGACCATAAACTTCCAAGGGCCCGGGGCGTTTAGGATTAAGTAGTGTTCTCCTGATGACATAGGAGCACTTCCCACCAAAGCCTGCCACAGCCGAGGATGCCCCTGTTCCCTCCATGTTCCAGGGGAGAGACACCTGCCCCCTCCCCTGCACTGGGCAGGTCATCCCACGTTCAGAGGGATTTGGAAAGCACACTTCATCCTTCCGTGGACCGAAGTGAGCACAGGAGCAACACACAACCCCACGTGCCGCAGGAGTTCAAAAGGAAGGCTGTCGACACACGGGGACTGTGGTGAGGTCTTCGGTCCCATTTCAGGACCAGTGTGAAGATGGGGTTCTGGCACACTGTCTTAAATGTCTCTTTGAATCCTCAGAGCCCATGGCTCTATTTAGAGATAAATAATTGCTGTCATGTTATTTTTTTTTTCCTGTGCTTATGCTGTACTTTTATCAGAGTTGTCTGTTGCAAGTCAGCAAAGGTAACTCGAAGATGGGGATGGATAAACTTATTCTGGATTATTTAACATTGTTGGCTGAGCACACAGGGTCCTGACCCCACCCCAAATGCCCTGTGTTACTTATGCACGTTAAAATTTAAAGACATTCATCTATGGTACATGTCAGAATTGATAGCTTAGGAAACCAGTATTTCCTAACAATGGCCCCAAATGTTAAAGTACTTTTGGTCTGTGCTTAGAACCTTTTTACTCCAAAAAACTGTTCTTTTTCAGGACTGTTTCAAGCTCTTTTGCTAGTAATCAGTACGAATATAAAGTGTGTATTTGAAAGGCAAAAAAAAAAAAATTTAAATTACCTCATGCAGTTCTTTAAATATTTATTTATTTATTTATTTATTTATTTATTTATTTATTTATAAGATTTTATTTATTTATTCATGAAAGACACACACACATACAGAGGCAGAGACATAGGCAAAGGGAGAAGCAGGCTCCATGCAGGGAGCCTGACGCGGGACTTGATCCTGGGACCCTGGGATCACGACCTGAGCCAAAGGCAGACACTCAACCACTGAGCTACCCAGGCGTCCCTTATTTAAAGTTTTATATACTTTGCTTCCCACCCTTCCTTTGGAGGATGGTTATGAATTAGGTACTTGGCACATTGCAAGGATTGAATAAAAATCAAATAAGTGAATCAATGATGCATTTAAAAATAATGAATTTTAGTATGTAAACAGAGACTTATCCCAGATTTTTATTTGTCATCCTTCCAGGGTAAAGAGATCAATCGAGGGCAACATTAGTGATGTAGTTTTTGGAACGCTGGTGAGGTTGGTGCGATCCAGAGCCAAAGGCCAAGGAAAAATTCTTGAGATATCTTTGGTGCAAAATGGTGGTTTTCTTAAAGCCTGGGGACCAGAGCCAGGGGCAGAAGGAGCTGCCGCCCCAGGATTGTGAGGAACAACTGATCATATACTTTAGGGTTGGGGGAAATAAAGATAAGAGAAGCTCCCAAAGGATTTTCATATGCTAAAGGAGACTCCAAGGATACTGGAGACCTGGGCATGGTCTGGCTAAGGTGGTTTTTCCCTCTAGCCAGGCATTCACATGAAGACAGTCAGGAGCTCCCTGGAGGAACCTTATTCCGCCTGCCTCAAGTATTTGTCAATGGGCTGCGGGTTATAAGGATATTTATCTACATTTCCTTCTGTCTTTGTTTCCCACATCGTTAGCAACTAGCAAATAACCATCTAATCCACCTTAAACAAATAGAGCTATTGATTCAGTGACAAGAGAAGCTGCATGAAAGGACATGGGGTCAAAGTTTACATTTCTAGCGCAGAGAAGTTTTATCCAGTTTCCTTCTAGAGGCTCTGGAATCAGCCTTGATTTACCACCTGAAAGAAATCCCCCCTTTTCTTGGAAGACAGCCTCTTCCATGAGAAAACTGAGCACTTGTGCACACACACATACACGCGTGTGCATACATGCTCACACGCACACACACCCTGACAAACTGTGGCCATTTATTCTGTGTTGTGTCAACTGAACCCAATGAATGGGTCTGTCCCTTATCTGCCTGGATAAACTGCCAACTTTCAAGCAGTGGTTGGCTTTTTCAGGAGGATCCCTCACTTCCTGCACCTGCCGCCCAGCACCGCCCCTGCACACAGCCCAGTCTTCCTTCTGATCTCCAGAGAGGATACTGCTTGAGCCAACAGCCCTGTCGCTTGCCCTCAGGTGGTCAGTTGTCCTTTGCCGCTGTATTCATTTTTTGTACGAACCCTGGGTACGGCAGGATGGATTTTCCGTATGTGCACACCTGCATACGTACCGCCCAGGTCAAGATGCAGAACATTCCAGCCCCAGGAAGGCTCCCCAGTGACTCAGCCCAGTCAATTCCTTCTCATACCCTGAGTCCCAGCCCCCAGAGGGAACCTCCACTCTCACCTCTGTTGCCTTAGTATTGCCTGTTCCTAAGCTCGGACAAATGAAAGCAGATTCTCGGCTCTTCTGTTGCCCTGGCGTTTCTCCCTCAGCGCTACGTCTGCGAGCTTCACCCTCACTGTGGGCTGCAGTGATGCTTCGTTCTTTCTCACTATTACCTAGTATTTCATTGCGTGCCTCGAGCATGGTTGGTATTCGGGCTGCTTCCAGGTCAAGGTTGGGGTTATTCTGAATACAGCTACAATTGAGCTTCTTGTATGTGGGTTTAGAGGATGTGTTCCCTGCCCGCATTTCCCCTGGGGACATATTTAGGAGTGGAAGCTCTGAGCATAGCATAGGCATAGGTTCAATCTATGTTTTCCAAAGTGATTTACCAATTTGTACTCCTGGCAGCAGTGTGTGAACGTTCTCGTCATTCCACACACTTCCCAACATTTGGTATCGTTTTAACCATTTTTAACCATTCTGAATTTTAACCATTCTGGTGGTGTCTTATTGTGTTTGTTTTTAAGATTTTATTTACTCTGGAGAGTGAGAGAGTGAGCGCATGAGGAGGGCAGAGGGAGAGGGAGGAACAGACCCCCCACCCCCCTCGCTGAGCAAGGAGTGGGACGCTGGACTTGATCCCAGGACCCCAGGATCCTGCTCTGAGCCGAAGGCAGACACTTAGCGGGCAGAGCCACCCAGGGCCCCGTTACTGTGGTTTTGAATTTGCATTTCCCCGACTGATGATTTGGATCCCCCTAATTGTGTGCTTTCTGGCTATCTGGTTAGTGCAGTGCTTGTGTTTTTTGGTAGACACCAGTATGGAAACTCAGAGTGTGAATGTGACTTCATACTTTAAGGAGACTTAATTTCGATAGTCTTAGAAGGAAGGAGGACTGATTCAAATGCACCGTTTGTTTCACGCCCACATAAACCACTTCAGTGACTTGAAAGGTCTCTCTCAAAGCTGATCAGCTCGGTGCAATTAAGTCACGTTTCTTTCACAAAGCCTGAGCACTTGTCCCAGCTCCAGGACATTGCAACGTGGTGCCTAAAGCCCGCACTGGAGGTTAAGTCGGGCAATCCGCAGGTACGGGGCCCACATCCATGGGAGTAGAGACGTGTTCTGTGACAGCCGAGCGGATTCTGACAAAGCACCAACTCACCTGTTCCCGAGTAGGGGGCAACTCCACGGTAGCCGTTGTGCCTACCCCATTTCTCCGAAAATGGCCCGTGGTATCTGGTGGCACAGAAGGTCCAGGCGGTCCGCGGCCCCTGCTGGGGGTGGAGATGGAATCTGTTTTTTTCTTTCTGGTGCATAGGACTTCTTTTCATTTCGCATATAAATCATTTCTTGAAAATGGGTGTGGTGAGCTTCTCCCAACATGCTGGGGGCTCTTCACGCTGCCTGATAACCAACATAAACTCCTAATTTTAGTGAAGTCCGGTGCATCTCGCTTTTCTTTTGTGGCTCTTGCTTCCTCCGCCCTGCTTTAAGGGATCTTTGCCTGCCTCACCTCACTGTTTTCTTTCAGCTGATGTCCTGTCCTGCCTGAGCCGCGTTTCTGACCCCTGGCCTGCCCTGGCCACCGCCCCCCCACCCCCGCCCGCGCACCCCGTGTTCTCTGAAGCCTTTCTTATCTCTCCGCCCAGATGAACGCTCTGGGGACTGCAGGTCACTCACTATGTCCTGTTCCTCTGCCTGTTTATCCGGTGTTCTCTGGCTGCCCATTCACAGCTTCAGCAGCCGTACCATTGCTTGCGATCAGCCACCCTTTCTCTGATGTGGTGTTGCCACTCTCGGAGGAGAGCGATTATATCATTAACATGGATGTGGTCTGAAGCAGAAAACTCAATTTAGAGTCAGTGTGACATCTCAAAGGGGATTGATTCTGTGAGAGTGGCCATTTGTTGGTTTCGTGAAAATATGCAATCAGGAAAAAAAAATCCCAAACTGTACATGTTTCCTTTGCCCAGAGCTGTACTTGGAAGGCACTGGAGTCAAGCCTGGGAGGACAGAGACTTAGCGGTACACTTCGGGATCCACATGGCTGACAGATGTAGTCGGCAAGCACCACGGGGCGTGGGCAATCCACAGAGCAGGGAAAACCGAGAACTTTCAAGCCGAAAAGAGCTTAAAAAGCTTCCAATCCGCCTATGTTTTTTGCATCTGGTGAAGTCAGCAGGGCCTCATGGCTGGGAGGGGCCCTTGTTCCTGGGTGGACTGATCCCCATGGAGGTGCTGGCACTCAGAGAGAGGCCCCAGGGGAAGCTTGCATCCCCCCTGCCTCCACTCCTACGGTCCAGTGAATGCTGGGCCCTTGGGAAGCAGGAGAAAACACAACTCACCCTAGTTAGCAAGTAAACACAGTAGGCCAATAGCAGGTGGATACAGCCATAGTGGCAGCGTGTGGCAGCTTCTGCGAGTCAACAAACACCTCAGAATGAGGAGCATGTGCACAAGGGAGTTAATGCAGCAGGCCTGAGAGCATGGTCCCCAGGAGGGCCTCCTGGTGAGGTCAGCCCTCAGCTGGCATCTGGGAACTTGGATTCAGGGAGGGTCCCCCACTCGCAGGGCTGATAAGAGGGGCTCCTGGTGCTGACACTGTGCAAACAAGCAAACAATGTGGTGGTTGCAGAACACCTGCTTTCCTCCAGGGACTCTGGGATTTAGGTCTGTGCCAGGGAGAGGAGAGTGCTCATGTGACTGACCCCCAGGAAAACTCTGGCTGCCACATCCCTGGCGAGCCTCCCTAGTGAACACCACTTCCCAGGTGTTGTCACAATGTGCTGCTGGGGAACAGAGTGTGTCCTCTGTGGCCCCTGAGAGAGGGCTCAGAAAGCTGGTGCACGTTCCCCCCGACTTTGCCTGTGTGCCTGTCCCTTTGCTGATCTTGCTTTGGGCCATCTCCCTATAACATGTCAGGGCCGTGAGTACGACTCTATGGTGAGCTCATGAGTCCTTTTAGAGGATTACTGAAACTCACACATGTCTACATATGGCACCCCTAATTCAGTGCTGTGCTAAGTAGTGGTGCTAAACCAGAAAAAGGTCTTATGCTTTATCTTAGGGAGAATCCAGTGAAATCATTCATCGAGGTGAACATCAAGTCCCAAATGATGCAGTGAAGATTTCAGTGTGGCCAGAGTCCATGTGTTTAAAATGAGGGTCAAAGGCTGGGGTAAGGAAAAAAAAAACAGGCTTGAGTTGGGTCTTAAGGATGGTGTGGCAGGCAGGACACTGGCCCCAAAGACAACTTTATCCTAACCGGTGGTGCTGGAAACTCGTCACTTTACATGGCAAAGAGAAATTACAGTTGCAGGTGGAATTGAAGTCACTAATGAGCTGTCCTGGATTATGCAGGTGGGAGATGTTATCACGGGGTAATTACCAGATATGACAGAAGGATGTCTCAGTTTGCTCAGGCTGCAATGAAAGAATATGTATGCTGGGTTGCTTATAAAGAGCACAGGTTCGTCTCTTGAGGCTCTGGAGGCTGGAAATCCAAGATTAAGGGTGCTGGCAGACGCTGCTTCCTTGACAGCTGCCTCCACGTGCCTTCCAGAGGTGGAGGGAGCTCCCGGAGTCCCGCCTGCAAGGGCAGCACTCCCACTTAGGAGAGCTCCACCACCGCGGCCAGATCCAGATCGCCTCCAGAAGGCTTCACCTCCTAGTGCCCTCCTGGAGCACGGTTAGGGTTTCAACACAGGAATTCCGGGGGGACCATACACATTCGATCTCTTGCAAGGGAGGCAGAAGAGATGTGATGTGGAGACTGGCCATTGGGGCTTTCAGACAGAGCGAAGGGCCCTAAGGCCAAGAACACATCTGGAAGAGGCCGAAAGACAAAGGAACAGAACTCCACGGACTCTTCCAACTTAGCCCCGTGCCACCCAGCTTGGCTTTCTGACCTGAAGAACTGAAAGATGAGGTGTTACAGCAGCCTTAGGAAGTGAATAGAGATTTGCAGGGTTTCTGTTTTTGGTGGATGAAGAGGAGTAGCAAGCTAGGACCCGCTCATCAGAAGCACTGGGTGCCACCATCTGTTGGTTTCCAGGCCAGGAGGCAGAACCCCGCCCCCTCCCACCCACAGGTGACTCTGGCTTCTCTAGGAGGGAGTCTACCCTGTCCTCCCAGCGTCCACCTTTCCAGGCTCTCTTGAACACCCCTCCCTAAGCCTGGCTTGGAAGGTGCGAAGGAGAGGTGGACTGGAAAAAGAAAAGTTCCTCCCTGAGAAATCTCTTCACAGGTTCCCTTACAGAGTCCCCAGCTTCCCCGGTGCCCTCGTGGTCCCAGGCAGTCCTCGCTAATCCTAAGAGGCAGGAATACTAGGCTGAACCATACAAAACGGCCCCTTCTGTGGGGAGAAAATAGCTGAATATTGGCGATTTCAAATAATTTCACATAATATTATCATCAACGGCACTGTACAGATGAGGAAACCAAAAGTTTGGAAGGTCAAGTCATTTGCTCGAGGCCACACATTTGGTGAGCCAGGAATGTGGATCCTCGCAATGTGCTGCTCTGACCACAGTGGCAGGCTGCCATCCATCAGATTGGGAGGGTGTGGTTTTCAGATGCCAGGATGAGCATCTGGACGTGCTGGGAAGCCACAGGGAAACCCTTGTTGGGGGAGAGGCTGCAGCGGGGGGAGGGGGGCTGGGGGGGTGGCAGCGAGGAGGACACACAGGGACGTGGTATGGAGGATGAGGCGTAGGCTGCTGTGGAGATGAAGGTGAACTGTACCCAGATTACGAGGTGCTGGCAGGTCACTGGAGAGGAAGGAATGATCAGAGACACTTTTGGTTTTTGGGTCTCCTGTCCTTGGCATCGGATCTAGCCCATAGCAGTTGCTCTATAAATCCTCATTAAATAAGAACAGAACTAAACAGATAAGGTTAGAAATTGTTCCCAGGCAGTGAAGAATCACCACGTTGAAAGTAGGGGGTTTCAGGAGCAGCTGCGGTGCAAGCTGGTATATGGTGAACAGCTCCTGTAATGCATATAGTGACACCTACTGCCGGTAATACTTGCTGTGACAGTTCCAGGGCTGACTTCTCTATATTTGGGTGCTCCTTTCTTGATCTAACTGGAACGCTGAGTGGAAATTTGAGCACACGTCTTTGTGTAGTGGGCAGGTAGGTTAGTAATCTGGGCAGGCTGAAGGGGCACATTTCTGAAAAGATATGAGTATAAACACGCACGCAGACTCTTTAAAGAATTTCTGAGTTCTGCAAGCTTGTCCCACATCATAACAAACATATCAAGATACTCCCATGTTATCTAAATACTCTCAAAGAATTTGAGCTTTGAAAAAATAGTTTTCATTTGAAATTATTTGGCGACAGGGAACTCATTTAATTTATGATTGCTATGACTTCCTGGCAATCATGGTATTAGGAAATTCTTACCAAGTGATTTCTAACTTACATGTGGTTTTCAAGTACAATGAAATGTTTATCAGTAAATAAATTACAATTTGAAGTTGGCACGTTACATTTTGGGGACTTTTCTTCAAACATTTATTGATTTCAAGCTTGCAGGGGAACCCTGGGTGTCTCATCGGTTGGGCCCCTGCCTTTGGCCCAGGGCATAATCCTGGAGTACCAGGATCGAGTCCCACATCGGGCTCCCTGCATGGAGCCTGCTTCTCCTTCTGCCTGTGTCTCTGCCGTGCTCTCTCTCTCTCTGTGTTTCTCATGAATAAATAAATAAAAATCTTTAAAAAAATTTCAAGCTTGCAGTGTACTTCTTGCATTTTGGGACCAATAAAATTTCCTTTTCAGGCTCAAACATTTTCACAGGTTCTTGAAAAGTCTAATGAATAAATGGCTTAGTAAACACTGCTGCTTGTGTATGATTGGCCAAAGAGGCAATAAAAGTCAATGAAGATTCTGACTCTTCTCTATAGAAGGGTGCCTAGACCTGAATGTGGGGAAAAACGTGTCTTTTTCCCTTGTTGCCAGGGTTTTCTTGGTCATTTCCATCACTCCTGCTGCCCCCACTCCACCATAAATAGGAAATGCCAGTTAACATCCAGGAGCGGCTGGAAACTGGGCCCAGACACACAGAGGACCCCCCCCCCCCAACACAATTGACATTTTCTGGGGAACAACAGGATTTATGATGGAAATTTCCCTAATTGGACATTCTGGCCCTAATATGCTGGACAATCCTGTTTTGATCCTTATCTGATCTTCAGATGCTTTTTTTTAAACATCTGGGCTTTCTTTCTTTCGTTCCTTTCTTTTCTCTACACTCGGGGTCAGTGGGCAGTGACTGGCGCCCTAGGACCAGGTCTGTAAGGAGCCGCGGCAGGTGTACAGTTGGCCACGGTCTGCACACGTGACCAGGGTCTTCCTCTCCTCCGGGTGTGTGTGGGGGATGCCTCCCCTGCAGCTCCAGGAACTCGGGGCGCGCTCACCGAGGAGGGCCTGACCCCTGACCGGGCCTGCTGGGGGTCACGGTGCAGGGACCCCAGGCCGTCTGCAGCCCTGACCTCGCCCCCACCCGCTCCGTGACTTCCACCGCTCTCCACCTCCACCCACCCCGGAGCCCTGGGTGTGGGGTCTGCACCCCGACCTCCGCCGTCGGGCCGGCAGCACCTCGTCTTCCGCCATCGGACTCGCACCCAGAGCCCCGCCCGCGGGCTCCGCCGCAGGAACGCCCCCGCGGCCCCTCGGGAATTTCTGCGGACACCCCCGCCCCGCGCCGCCCCCGGGACCCCCGACGCAGACCCCGGAAGGACACCCGGGCCGTCAGCCACCGCCTCTGCGCAAACTGATTTCTCGGAAAGACGAGCGCTTCGAAGAAGGCCGGCCGGGCCTGCCGCCCCCATTGGGGGGCGCTGGCGGGGCGCCCGCGCTGATTGGCCGGCCGCGGCGCGTCTCCCGCGCCCATTGGCCCGCGCGGCCGCCGCTCCGCGCGCCGGGCCCGCCCCCGCCCTAGACTCGCGCCGGCGCCCCAGCCACGGCCGCATCCCCGGAGCGCGGCGGCGGGAGCGTGGGAACCCGGCGGCGGCGCCGAAGGCGGGCGGCGGGCTGGGCGCGCGGCGGCAGGTAGGCGGCGGGCTCCGGCCCTCCTGGTCCCGGCTCTCCCTCCCGAGCCCAGGCCCGCAGGCCAGGCGCGGAGCGCGGGCGGCGGGTCCCCCGGCGGCTGATGCTTGCCCCTCCAAAATCCCATTTTTCTTAAAAGTCTGGCTTGCGTGGAAGCCCTAGGATGGCCTTTCTCAGGGGGGGGAGGACCGACCTCTTTACTGCAAGACCTGCCCTCCGGTCCCGCCCAAGTCCTGCTGCCCGGAGGAGCGCTTGGGAAGCGCCCAGTGACCACCGGGGTGGTGAGCTAGCTAGCGCAGCGGGGCGCCCTCCGCACCCATCCGACCCCAGGGTCCCTGCCCAGAGAGCCCTAGCCCTGCAGGGCTCACAGCTAAAAGGCTTTTGGGCGTAAAATGCGCCCCAAGGCAAAGGGGAGACTTTCCCGGTTGAGGTATGTTGCTTATCCCAGGGCTGTGGAGTGCTTGCTGGATGGAGAGACTGGAGGCTGAATGTTCCAGAATTTAAACTGTCCTTTCAACCTGTAGGGGGATGTAACATACTTTTTTTTTTTTTCTTTCTTTCTTTTAAGCCCGAGTTAGGAGCTGGTCCTGAAATGAAGGTTCTGAGCATGCCCTTTGAGATTATGGGAGGCTCTTCCAAGAAAAGAATTGAGAGTGGTTCAGTCATTTCAGGAAGACTAAGGCCAAAGTGACAAATAACTTTGATGCTTTTGGTTTAGGGGTGGAGGACATGGGGCTGTGTGGCCACCAGGCAAATACCTCCCCGCCCCACCTCGGGGCCCTGAGAGGTGTGGGAGGTGAGTCTTGCACCTCCTAGGCACATCCTGGAATCCGGCTTGGGTGGGGGCAGGGCAGCTTTTTATCACCTCCCGCCTGGGAAGCTGATTCCTGGGACCCATTTATTGGGATGCAGATTAGCTCCAGATAGGACTTGGCCCTTAAAGAGAATGATTATCTAAAAATCAAGGAAGAGGAAGTTATAAACATGTGACCAGGCTTATGAATTTTTTTTCTGGCTTGACATTTGACGGGATTAATGCGTTAGCGTTCACTAAATCATTGTGGGCCATGGAGCTAGAATCTTAGGCTTGTATTGCCACTTAGAATCTTAGAGGTGCTCTCCATGAAAATTCAGGTGGGGGGATCCCTGGGTGGCGCAGCGGTTTGGCGCCTGCCTTTGGCCCAGGGCGCGATCCTGGAGACCCGGGATCGAATCCCACGTCGGGCTCCCGGTGCATGGAGCCTGCTTCTCCCTCTGCCTGTGTCTCTGCCTCTCTCTCTCTCTCTCTCTGTGTGTGACTATCATAAATAAATAAAAATTAAAAAAAAAAGAAAAGAAAATTCAGGTGGGACTGGCCATGTGCTTATATCTTGTAACGTGACCTTGGCTTTTCTCTGCAGAGCTGGGGTGCCTGGGGGTCAGGGTGCCTTTCTGGGCCTCAGTGTTTCCTCCTGTGAGCAGGCAGGCTGGATTAGATGGTTTCTAAAGTATTGTCCAGTTTTCCTATTCTGTGATTTCACTCTTCCTATCCATGCCCTCTCTCTTTTCTCTTTTCCTGTCCTTATAAATCACCAAGACAGTTGTCCTTAACAATTCTGGGGGTCATGAGTGCCTTAGAAATCTTGATAAGAAGGTGTTGACCCACTTTCTAGAAAAACGCCCATACAAACAAAATCTTGCTTTTTATTTTCAGGAGGCTCCCGGAGCGCGGACTCTGGTTTATAAACCTCGTGCTAAGAGGGTGAATAAAGTCCTAATAAGTGGGCACATTTCATTGAATTGACAGATCCGCAGATACCACCGCTTCTTTTGTGTTCTGGCCCCTCTCACCCTCCTCCTGCACACAGCTCACTCCTCAAGGGAGGCGAGATTCTTCTGTCTTTCCTCCAAGAAGGCCTGCAGAAGTCAGTACTGTGCTAGGTAATCTTCTGGGGCATGTTTCCTTTCTCTCACCAGGTGTTCCTCCTAAATCTTTTTTTTTTTTTTAATGAAGATTTTATTTATTTATTTGAGAGAGAGAGAGGCAGAGATAGTGACAGAGCATGAATAGGGAGGAGAGGGAGAAGCAGGCTCCCCACTGAGCAGGGAGCCCAACATGAAGATCCACCCGGGACCCTGGGATCACGACTTGAGCCAAAGGCAGACACTCAACTGGCTGAGCCACCCAGGCTCTGCCCTCCTAAATCTGTACTTCTTATTTATAAGCACAAGGGGCTGTTTTGGAATTCTGGGATGCTTGAGGTGCATTCACTTTGCAGGGGAGGAGAGCCTCAGAGAGGTTCAGGTGGTTTTCCCAAGGCCTAGCTGGAGAAAAGCCTTTGCTGGGTCTGCATTTTCCAAATCCAAGTCCAATTCCTATTCCACCACCCGCTTCACCCCATTTACGTCCACCTGTGGGCATGGAAAAGGCACATTTGGCATTTGGGACTCTTCTTCTCCCCAGGACCTGGGCCCCCTTTCCAATCCCACACCTGTAGGGAGGCTGGTTTCCAAATCCTGTACTTCTTGCTTCATGGACCAGGATGGTTCTGGATGTGACCATATTCTTGGGGACATTATGTCTTGTCACTACTGATTATTTCACACCTGTTTGCCCAAAGAGGTCACACTTTAATCAGAAGAATAGAATTTTTTTTTTTTTTTTTTTGGTGGGCGTCTGTCCAACTGTCTAGGGGATTTCCACCCCTGTTCTTGTAAATGTGGGCTGTGAGTCGATACGGCATGATTATTCTTTTTCTCTTTGCTATTGGGAAAGCTGCCTCTTCTGGCAACAGTGTTCTTCTAGAGGATGTCTTTGGCTACCCTGGTGAGGTCCCCAAATCCTGGTGCCTTCTGGAAGAGTCTAACCCAGCTGACTTTGCTTTGTCCTATGGCCCCAGTTGATCTTCCTTTTTGTTCCAATTGGTTGTAAGGGTTCCTGAACAAGAAAGTTGGGGCAATAGCATCTGTTAGAATCTTTTCAGGTCCAGGCATGGCCTCAGGTGCTTCATATGCATCCTCTGAACCTTCACCACAAGGATGCCCAGTACTGATAGTTACTCTAGGGCTTTAGTCCCCATGGCTGGCACTCCCAAGGTTAAATCATGATTCAGGGTCACCCAGCTGGGAGATGGTGGGTCTCAAGGGGACTCCAGCTCTGTCTCATTCACAAACTCTTACTCTTATCATTAACCCAGCTTTGAAGGAATAATCTAGAAGGGCTATCTTTGAGGATCTCCTTTTTTGGAGCACACAGATGTCCTATTTGCCAATAGACACGGGTCAGACTGGGCATCAAGTGATAGAGTTGGCTCTGAGAGTGATGAGCTGCTTATTAAAGGACCTGGAAATTAAATAAAAGTGATTATTCCCCACGTCATGCTAAAAATGGAATGGTGCTCTTAGACGTGGCTGTGTTTGTCCGGAATGGAGCAAGGGGCGAAGGGTGGAAGCAGAACCAGCCAGAACCTTAGGACAGGTGGGTATATGGTGCAGGGCAGCTGCAGATGCCCTGCAGAGTCTCAGTTTTCAGGACTGAGAGGGTCCAGGGAAGCATGCTCTTCCCACGGCAGGTGGCTCAGGGTCCTGGGGTCTGTGGATTTCCCCCTAGGCTAGCACCTGTGTTGCAGCCCTCTGATCATGCTGTCAGCAATTCTGGACTCCCAAGTACATGGGGTGCTGTGATTAATGAGACGATATTTGTAATTTCACAGAACGTGTTTTTTTCTTTCCAAGGATGTGCGACCGGAACGGTGGCCGGCGGCTTCGGCAGTGGTTGATTGAGCAGATTGACAGCAACATGTACCCGGGGCTGATTTGGGAAAATGATGAGAAGAGCATGTTCAGGATCCCTTGGAAACATGCTGGCAAGCAAGATTATAACCAGGAAGTGGATGCATCCATTTTTAAGGTACAGACTGGAACTCCTATCCCACATCACCAGCACTTGCTGTCTTCCCTTCGGGCCCACGGAGGCGTTGAGTGACATCTTTCTCCTTTGCTTGAAAAGCCATCTAATTTTGTTAAAGAAACATAGATTGAGTGCTGAGTGTGTCTCCACACACCTGTTGTGTGACTGAACCCCTTTGAGGTCAGTTGGCTGTCGTTGGCGTTTCCCCGGCTGGGGGTATCCAGGGCCCTTCCCCACCTACCCTTTCTTTTGCATGAGGCTGACAGTCAGGGAGAGAGAGGACTCATGCATGCAAGGCCCTAAGACCAAGACCTTTACCCTCCCCGGGTTACCATCTAAATTCCATTACGAATTCTAGGAAGGGCATAATAAGTCTTTGTACTTTCAAAGTTATTACTTCTGCCTGGCAATATAGCGTCAGCTCAGACAAGAGAGACACCATCTGTCATTGCTTCCGGGGCCGGGTCATGTGGGGTGTCCTGAACCTGCAGCAGAGGTCTAAGAATAGTCTTCCTTCCCCTGAGAATAAGAAGTGCCCAAGCATGGAGAGGCTTGCTGTTTACCAGCAGCTCTGAGCAAGAGAGCTCACTGTGTGCCAGGCCTGACCCACATGTTTGTTTCTCCTCTTGCGCACTCCTCTACAGTAGGTGCTGTTCTTTTCCTGTCCAGGCACCAAGGGACAAGGGGCTTGTCCGAGATCTCACAGCTCTTGGGCCGTGGAGCCAGGTAGCCCCACCATGAGCCCATGCTCCCAACCCTAAGTGCCAACCAGCAGAGGTTTCTTGCCATTCCACCAACATTCAGGCAGAGGAGCAAGAGCGAGGGCAGCCCAGCTGGGTTGTCAGAGTCCCCTGTGGATTATTGTCACCTGCGGGCTTCTCTGAGGCTCCAGGAATGCAGCTCCCCCACCTGGGGTGATTTGGATCCCTGGGTCATGGTGAGCCCCAGCTTCTGCGATGGCAAACAGATGCACCACAGGTGGCTCAGAGCCCCTCTAGTTCTGCGGGCATTCAGGGTCCAGGGAGGGGAGAGTGGGTGAGGATGAGGGAGGGCGGGGCAGGCTGAGTTGTAGAAGGGAGGGCATTGGCCCCCAGACTGTGGTGAGAGAGGGAGCACAGGTGTGCAGGACCCCAAGCAGCACTGGATGACTGAGGATGACAATCCTCTGATCCAAATGAACAAAAATCTTGGAAGATCATGCCTTGGCCCCAGAGTGGAACACAAGTAGGTCACAGCTGGCTTCAGAGGTGTTTTGGCCCTTCAGGTCTCTGTGTGGCATTCGCAGTGGGCTCCATGTTTCTGTTACAATTCTGTTACATCTCTGATCCGGGGTCACAGAACTCTTTGGTCAGTTACCAGCTCTCTCCCTGGAGAGTGGACA